AATTTAAATTGATAGAAAGGAAAGCTTACTTTTTTGAATCTTTTGCTTAAAACAAAAACTGATTCTTGAACTTGAAATCTGTTACAATTTTCTCCAGCCAACTGGCTATGTGTTCCCAGTTTAACCTGTTACCAAATATGTCATAGTTATTTTATGAACAGCCCTTCAATGAAGGCTACAAATAGATCAAAATAAGCAAGAATTTTAAGATATTCCAGTTTACATCACAAGAGAAGACTGAGTGCTAGCTCAGTCTCTCCCGCATTGCTTAGCATGGGAGATGAGTTTGCGACACGCAGTCTTTTATCAATCTGAACACCATGCATTAACGTATAGTGCCGCTACAAGAAAGTCATTTGAGAGGCTTTCTTAAAAGTGAAATTCTTGCAAAAAAAAAGCATCTTTAGCACTTAAGATAGATGCTGTATGCTCTCCAAGACCTGGTTATTGATTTCTTGATCTTCCAGAAGCCATACATGAAGAGGGTGCATATGTGCACTTGCTGTGATTTAAATGCAGGCTGCATTACAAGCCAGGATGGCCAAATACCTAATCCACTACTGCCATGAGGATATCTAACAACCCTTACAATCAAAAGGCTTCTGCAGAAGATACAATTGTGCAGTAAGGACTCAGGAACCCTCCCAAAAATGATCTATGCCAGGGTGAGAAAGTCATATCCCCATTTACCTTTGGATCCAAAAAACTAGTATCTGATTTATCATCTCCATGTGCTGAAGAATCTGAACTTCTTGTGACAAACAACTCAGTTATCAAGGTTCAGATGAAGGACAACCTTCTTACCTTTTCTGAAATACATTGCTTGTCTACCTGATTTTTGAAATCAGGTATCATAGAGAGAAACTCCACATTTTTTTCATGTTCATCCACTTTATTGCCCAGGCTTCCTGCATTTGTATGTTTCCTCTTTATGTCCACATCCAGATTCGTTTAGTCCAATTTGAAACAGTTCAGACCTGGATAGATCTACCAGACAGCTTTCATCAGTACTAGTGATAAAAAGAGGCACTTTAATGAACCAGTATGTTAAATCCTTTCTAAGCTGACTCTTAGCTTTTTCTTTAGAGGCTGGGACAGCTCTGCTGGGATTGTCAAATCAGTTACTCCGTAAGTCTAATATACAAACTCCACCTCTCCAAGAAATTCTCCACATATTTAGAGACTACACACAAACATGTGAGCGATCTCTTTTACTGCCTGTCCTTCACCTCATCCTGAGCTCTGAACAAGGAGTAGTAGTCCAAACTGAAGACAGTATCAGCAGGCATCTGACCCAGGCAGAAAGATCCATTTAGTCTATACTGTGGAGGGAATTTCACTGTTTGGGGGTAGAAGGGAATAGGATTAAAAGCACAGTTGCCAATGAAGTACACAGTATTTATAAGTATAGCTTGGTTATCCTAGACAGGTTGCTCAAGTAGCTAGTGCATGCTATTTAATATACTGACAACATTGCACTAGTAACTAGTGCAAATGGATGGATGCAACCTTGTCATTCATCCGTAAAATACTGTAATACGCACTTTGAATTCAGAACTGTAGCAAATCTTCACCGACTGCCTAAAGCCAATGCTATTATTTATCTTTATAACATAAAATTGCTGAAATTAAGAGATCACAACCTTTACCAGCTATGTAACATTTTACTGAATAATTACAACTTCCAGAGGTTTTTACAAGAGGTACCAGTGTCAATTATAAGACAATATTATGCAGAGAAATGCTTAAATGTGTACACTTCACAGATTAAAATGATTTCCCCACACTAATATGAAATAACTTCGACATAGAATGAAAAAGCAATACACAGAAGCATGAGAATAGGGGGAGAATGCATTTGATTAAAAGGCTGCATGGGAAAGCATATTTGAATTTTGAGATTACTCACTGAAAATTCTACTACTAGTGAAAATCCTCACTGCTGGCTTTCAGATTTAATGCAATTTTGGTAATAGCCTAAATGCTTGTTAAATGCTTTAGACATTTTTTTTCAGACACTTTTCACATCCTTCTTCAGTGTCTTTTACTTTGAAAAGAAACTTACCAAAAAACTTAAATTATGTCATTTCTGTAACAATCTGCATTTTTCTTCTGTCTTCAGATCTGAAGCAGCTCATCACAACCTCCAATGTTTTTACACGAAATAACTCTCTTAATAAATGCAGTCTACATTTAGGTTACAGAAATCAAATTTATCTTAGGCTAAAGAATGTGGAGCTATAGTCCACTATTTTAGGAAAGACACCTCCCTATAACAATATTATGAATGCTAGAAATACAAAAATTTATCCAGGCTTACTGTTAGTGTAAGACTTGTAAGTAGTAACTAAGACTTTATATTTTAACTAGTGGTTCTGGTTTACATACAAAAAAGAAATTGTCTTTGAGTGCCTACTGTAATACAGAATAGGGAGAAAAATTGTTCTTTATCTACCACAATCTATTTTTTATTCTCTGTGGTATTTTTTAAGTACATCCTTTTTACATTATGCTTTGAATGTTCTCTTTAACTTCTTTGCAGAATGTGATGATTTACCTAGAAAACTTGCTTATCCACAGACATTTAAGCAACCTGAAAATAAGGACTAACATTCAACAATGTTCACAAGTCCATTGCAACAGTTCTGCAGTCCTTAGAATACTGCACCTTTTTTCCAAAACATCTTCTGTACGGTGCTTCACCTGTTTTCTTGCTGAAAGAAGCAATTCACTCTTTTTCTTTAATTCACTCCAACTCCTTTTTCCAGCATTAAAATTATTCAACCTCCACTCACCAAATACACAATTCATCAACAAGTCTCCACACTGAGATTATACCATCACTCTTGGAGAGGACCAAGTTTTCAGAGAGAAAACAGGTTTAAACCTGTAAGGTTGAACACCATATTAGGAAACAATTAAACTGAGGAATTGATTTCTGTCCACATTTTCTAGACTCTGCTGATCTTTTCCTATTCCCAAATGTTCAACATGCTGTTTTTCCTTCTTTGTATTCTTTTCTTTTTACCATGCACCTTGTTATAGTTTGTTTAGCTTCAGTAAAGCCTGATTGACTGCAGCTTCTACAGTCCACGTAACTATTCAGAGCTCCTGACATATTTTATTTTCCTCAAAGAGCATGCATTTCAGAAATCAGTCTACTGTGCATAGATTCTTATTTCTTTTTTACCTGCAATAAAGCCATAGTCTACTTTTAATAATTATTCCTGCGTTTCACAAACAAAAAAGGAAAAATTACTTCTTTAAGCTACCCAACCAACCCCTCTGCAAAAGAATCTTTTTAGTGCATCTCACCTTCTCACTTACGTTAAGCAGGTGAACAGCCAAAGAGATGCAAGTTTTACTCTCTATTCAGGACTAACAATAAGAACAGAAGCAGTACAACACTTGATAGAAAAAAAAAATAAAAGCATTTTCATTTTATATTCACTTCTGCAGTGTAAGCCTTTAGGCAAGCACAGAACTTCAATTTTAGTACAACAGTCAATACTAATCAATCGTTCTACTCTGCCAAGCCAGAATACCTTCAGAACATATGACCTCAAAATGAAATACTTTTCTCTCTAGTCTTAGTATGCTTCTGTGGATTCTTCTGTAAGACAGACATCTAAATCAACTTTAGAAAAACGATTGAGATTTTTTTCAAAATCGCAACATTTCTTGCAACGCATAAGAGCCTAAAAACTCTTTGCATGTAACCTGCAAATATTTAACGCACTCGTCATTAATAGAGGCACTTCCATAATGGATAGTTTTTCTTTATTAAGGAAAAAACGGAAGTGAGCTAAAATGATAACAGATACGGAGAACAGAGTTGCGATCAGTGTATTACCTAGACAAACCATACCTAAAATTCTTTCATGTCCCCCATCCGCCACCCAAGATGGAGAGTAAAAATCTCTCTAAAATAAATCAATTGTTTGTGATATAGCTTAAACAACCTGCACACAGCAGAAGCATAAACATCTGGTAATTTTAGCCAACATGATTTTGAGCTTTCAGAACAGCAATCATGCTGTACTACATTAGCAATAAACAAGTAGTTAGTATAAAATCCAGAGTCCAAGAGCAGCATACAGCCCTGCCATTGAAATATAAGATGCCCCCAATGGCTTCCTCCTTTCACAGTAAGGATATTACTCTTACTCGAGTAAGAGTAAGAGTTATTAAAAGAAATCTGTGTGTGAATTCAAGAAAGGAGAAAAGCAGAGCCTAAAAACACCTTTGGCTTGAGCATGAGCCACAGAGGACAAAGGATGCAACTTGTCATTAAAATGTTTTCCTGTTCCTCGAGCCCCTACTGCTATTAGACCAGGACACACAGCAAACAGTGACTCTGCAATATAGTATTTCACTGAAGGATTTACTAGAACACCATGCTTAATAAATCCTTAGGTAACAGTGGAGAACGTTTGACATAGCTGTTTGCAATTGCAGTCTGCAATACACACACCCACACATATATTTATGTTTAGTTAAATTACTTTAGAAAGGGGAAAAGAAGCACATTACATGTTGAATTTCAGTGTAGAAAGGAGATGATTTAGACTTGAAATTGATTCATGGGGGTAAAGAATTCAGAATTTTCTTTACAGAAAATCATCATATAGGAAAATATTTAATATTAGCATCCAGCAAAAATATATCAAGATCATGGAGTATACTGAAGCCCTAAGACTCTTTTTTTTTTTCCCCTAAACAGCAAAAGTTTTATGGAATTATGAGACATCATATAATAAATAAGCAATCTTTCACAAAGCAGAGGGCAGTAGTAGTTTGAACACAATTTGAAAAAAATAAAACTTAAGGCCAAAACAGACTACAAAAATAAATTATTTTAAAAGACTAAAGCTTTACTGAAAAATATCCTAGAACATAAATGTTAGTTGTCACTCCTTTTCCTTAATCAATCCTTCAAATGAATTGAAAAGGAACATTAAGTAATTGCATTAGTGATAAAGAAAAACTCTACTCCTACACACTTTGCAAGTTTTCTTTAATTCAGAGGATTCTGTCATGTAAATGGACCATCTACAAATTTTCCTCCAAAACACTAGAAGAAAAGTAAATTACATACTGGACCCACATCACCTCAAGTTTTAGACCATAAAGGTTTAAAAAATAAAAAAATATAAACAAAAATCTGTTAACAGGCAATCTGCACGTTATAATATATATTTATCTCTAGCAATTTGAAATTACTTTTCTTTTCCAAAGAAGCTGACAGACTCAGTGAATCAATATTTTCATCCAACTGCCAAAAACAGTCAGTCTGCCTCTTTTTCTGACACACCACCACCATCCAGGACAGTTTTAAAAATGAAAGGAGGTCCTGAAACTATGCAGTAGCAACATTACTGAAAACATTCAAGTTGTAGGTTCTTAAACTTAACATATTGTGATGATATAATCAATAATGCAATTGGTAGAGAAGAAACTCAGAATACAAACAAAAAGTGTGTGGATGGGTACGCTTCTGACTCAGATAACGAGATTAAGATCAGAATTCATACAAATTATATCTCTGATGAATAAGAAAATATCATTTTTTTACAGGCTTTGGAGCAGACTTCCTACAAGAACATATGCTCATGTCTCTTATTAAAAAACAGCTATGGGAACATTTCTGCATTTAGAATGAAATTTCATCCCTGCAAAGTGCAGACTAACTCTACTCATTCATCACTAACTCCAGCATACAAACCATTTACATCACGTTTCCTGTCTCCACTAACCCCCCACAGTAAGAACGTCTTCCCATTTTCACCGCTCTTATTCGTGCTTTTAACATTTCTGGAATAACCATTTTTAAGTGTCTATTCAAACTCAAAATCCATTTAAATATTCAAGGAAGAAGGAAAAAGGATATGCATTATCAGATTTCAGTGCTCTTCATGAATGAGACTGTCATCAACAGAACACAAACCAAGATGAGCCAAAGCTCACACAAGGCAGGAAGGGGCAGTTAAATGATTTATAACGAGCTAAAATATCCCTTATTTACTTGAGACAGTACATTTGCAAATTACCTTTAAACTTTTTCACTAAATGCATTTCAGATCATCAGGCTTACTAGTTCTACCATAGGAAAAAAAACAGATGAATGCAACTTTCTTTTGGATTAGCCATAATAAGCTAATATGCTACAAAGAAGTCACTAGTTAAAAGGAATTATGGACAAGGGTACTAAAGAGACCTTTCACTCACAATTACTGTATGTGAAGGCTCATTTTTAGAAAACAAAAGTCTGGAATGTTATTCTACTTGAAATGACCAGCATGCAAAGTGCTTTGCAATTGTCAAAAGCCAAGCTATTTTCAATTCTCGTAATTTACTGGTGACATTTTATATGAAAAATATTATAAAGCTTTTAATAAAATCCTGACATATTGGTCTCCACACTTACTATTTACTGCAATGTTTGTAATTTAAGATTAACAAATTGATTTTAAGACTTGTGTTTCATATTAACATTTCTTCTCTCAGCAAATCAGTCATTAAATTACTCAGCAATTGAGTCACTAGGAGGCTCTTACTGCCACCTCTCACCCATGAGCAATTTTCATTTTACTGAAATACTTTAAAGTGCATAAAGGATTTTTCTGAGTTATTTATCTGTAGTTATTTCATGTATATTCCAATTAATAGATTTGCATGATCAATACTTATAGACTTTATTAAAAGACTGATTTTCAAAATATCTGCTGACTTGGGTGCCTATCGCAGAAAGCCTTATTCTAGAAGCCTATTTCATATAGCACTAGAACTGTACATTTCAAACTTATAAACTCTAGGCACTTCATCTCAGGATTGTTGAGGACTATTGGTTTCACTCTTCCAGACAAGCAAAGTTGATTCTTAAAAAAACGCAAAGCAAGCAGTTCAGAATTCAGATTACAGATAATACCTATAGATAAATAAATTAAAAATACAATGTATTCATTTCTGTTTAATTATAAATATTTCTAATACATTTTTGATTATTATAACTTCCAAACATGATGTCTCTAGCAAAGACCATTTCTGGCAATACAGCCTATTAAAAGTATAAAAAACCAAAAATGCCAGGTAACTTTTAATAAGCACTGTCATAAATATCTCCCAGATTACACCTGAAGATATTTACAAATAAGAGGAAAAAGTGTACAATTAGGGGGAAAAGAACAAAATTTAAACAGAGGAAGTTCACTGAAATCTCTACACAGTAATCTCTTCACAGCAACACAACATACTCTGGGGCTAGCCACATAAAGCTGACTCCGCTGAGGAAAGAACGGATTTGCTACGTGCTGTTGTGAACTGCAACAGTGGCAAAAAGCAGGTTTCCAGGCCATGGTACTTGAGAGAAGGCCAGTGCCTGTTAGATTTTCTTTCTAGAGATGAGTTCTTTCTGTGAAACAATTACATAATTGGAAACTAACAACTAGTTTAAGGTTGGCAGGTTCCACTGGAACAAAGTCTTCCTAGTTAATCTTAACATCTCCCAAGAACCTTTAACGATATCTTGAAAGAAACTAACGAAGTGCAAACTGATTGCAAAGGGACACAATGGAAAACTAAGTATGCTCTATATTTTCAGGCAGTAATATCTGCCTAATCAAACCTCAAGTCTCAAGTTCTGAATTGCAGTAAATTCACTCAGACAGATTCTCTTGTGGAAATTAAGTAAAGTAGCTTTTTGAAATAGATTTTGCCATAGAAATTTTTGCCTGCGAGTCTAATGTTCTTCCAGAAACAGCGCTAACAGTCCAGGAAGCCTACAGCAAAAGTAAGTGAGGTATGGTACTGAGGTCACTGCAGTCTCAGAAGCTTTTCATCCCTTTACACAACTTCTTTCCAAACTGGTAGCAACCTAAAGATTTCTTCTGTCAAGTCTAGAGTATCTCCAAATCCACATGACGAACATCAGGATTTCGTTGCTGAGGAGGAAAAAAAAAAAAAAAAGTAAAACAAAATATTTTTATTAAAAATGCTCAAACACGTATTTGCACATGGATACAAATGATGCATTTCTGGTATGACGTTGTCAACTGGATAACAAATCCCTACTTCTGGTAACCTAGGGACTATTTTCAAATGAAGAATAACTTCAATAAATGTATGCCATACTACAAGCAATTTTGAAGAGCAAGTCTCTTTGTTTGACAAATACTTTTAACTTCACAGCTAAAGTAGTAGTTCTGCATTAAAAAGTATGAAACAGCTCTTTTGATTTAAAAAGGCAGTTAGTTTTTATATAAAACTGTCCAAATAAAACTTTCTTAAAATGACACACGTTTAGCAGGCACTTTCCCAAACACCAGATAATTGCTAAAATAATTTGCTCTATGCCACTGAAGCTATTTACAAAGATTCAAAATACTGTTTCTGTTAAGAAATATGCATCTTCTGATACTGTAGAAATGTTATGGTCATTATTTGGGTTGCACAATCCACATGAGGTTTTAAGTCACTGACTTCAAAGACATCCAGCATGTGAATCTTAGCAGCATATTTAGTAAAGCATATTCAACAGCAACACAATCACTGAAATCCTTGGATACACCAGAAAACAGTATTCATGCTTAAAACTAGTCATGAGCCTGCTACTCAAAAACCATGAAGAATTAGATCTCCTGATGCAATTATACTCAAAAATAATAATTTGATTTTTAAACAGCATCACTTGGGGGAGATGAAACTAAAAGCAGAATATTTCTAAAAAATTCTACACTACAGCCAAGGCTGTAGTGCTCTTGAGCAGTGTCTCCTGATGAAGGCAAAGGCATTCATGGAAAGACCGTATTTGTCTAGCAGTCACTATAGTTCTGTATTCACTCTAGAAAATACTACAGAACTGACGCCAAACTGAAAACATTTGTCAGACCACATGCCTTGCTTAACCATCTAAGAACAAGGAAATGAATCCTGCATTTTATAAAGAAACATAAAATCAGAATGCCTACTATGGAAATGTACAGAATAGATACTATACACAAATTTCCACCAACAACTTCTTGTGAGATACACCATTCTTAGATGATTGAGTATTATTCCCTCTGCTGGTCAACCACAAGAGGGCATGAACATGCAAAATACCCATCTTTTCCACTGTGTTCCACACAGACCTGTTCTTTGAGATCCAAACAGTCCAGGTTTGGTTTGGTGTTTGTTTTGGGATCTTTAAAATGTTTTTACAAATTACACACAGAAGTAGAGAACACTAAAAATCACATGCTTCTCCAATTCTGTTCAGAACTAGTAGTCAGGTACCAACATAGGCCTAAAGTCACATATAACCACAGCTAGGTGTCCAATCAGATCAGTGATATAATGCTAGAATTGCCAAGATCTGAGACAAATAATGTGTTAAATATGATTAAAAAAAGAGATCTTTCGTCATAAGACTACTCAGAACTAAACTGCTTCTATTTACAGTATGTAAAGAACATACAAAGAGAAAATGAAAGCAAGTAAGCCATTCTGATTATCCGCAGCTAATTCTCAGATTAAGATTTTAATGGCCATATTATAATTAGATTTAAAAATTGTAACAGTTCTGTTGTATCAAACAAAGGATTTTTAAAACTCAAAATGAAAAAAAGAATTATGAATTTTTATGTAATTATTAAAAAGTTATGATAGATCCATAAAGCAATGAACATTGTACTGCTTTACCAAGAGCAGAAAAGGTCAAGTAACCAGAGCTTTCAATCACACAATGATATCAGTTCTGATACAGGGTTAAGCGTCAGATTAAAAACCATTTGAAATTTGCTTCTTTAAAACTTAAACAGAATCCAAAAGCCTGTGAATAACCTGACATTCTGAGACTACCCTAGCACTGATGAAAACACAATCAAGTATCATTTCACGAAAAGTGTTCTATAACGGCATAAAAACCTGACCAAAATACATCGCAAACAGATCAAAGGCAAAGCAAGGGCTTGCTGCCGAACAGAATTTAGTTAATAAAATCATAGCAAAAAGTTTGGCATCAAGATTATCAATCAAAGACAATCCTCAAAAGTAGAAGCAGTGATATTGTTTAAAATGTTTTACAGAATAAACATTCCCTTATCAACAGCTAAATCTTACCTTCAGGTCCTTCTCAAGTCTGTCTACTTCGGCTCCCAGTGTGTCAATGATATTCTCACCATGCTTAAGCATGAAGGCTTCTAGTTCTTCAAGAGTCTTTACTTGTTGAATTTCCTAGCAAGAAATAAAATTTAGAAGGCTGAGATAAAGACAGGAAAAAGCCCTACAAAGGGTCCTGACATGCTTCCCAGGCCTGCAAACACAAAAAAAAGCTACCAGCTTTTGACACTTTCTTTCCAAACAGCATCTAGTCTGATGTTTCAAAGACATGGAAAAACAGTATCTATCTGGTGAAAATGACTGGCTTACCATTACACCTGCATCTGATACAAAACAACCTTTTATTTTTAATGGATTTTCTCCTTTATTTGCAGACTAAGTTTATAAAATTTCATTCATTTTCTAGAAGCTTCCAGGGTATCACCTGCCCACAGCAAGACAAAGTAGCTCATCTCTTTGTATTCTTTCCTCATCTTCATATCTTCTTGCTATTCCATCGTACTGCTTACTGTGGGCATCGCATTACCAACTGAACTCAAAATCCACATGGAATACTGAGACATCTGCTGTAAACACTACCCCTCTGTGATATCCAAAAACTGGAAGACTGCTGATGTGAACTCAGCATAGGAGACCAAGAGTATACCAAGCTGCAGGAATCAGGTTAAGGAAGACAGGACGCTACACTCCCTCTAATATTAGGCAGATTTCCACTACAGGTGAGAATTCCTCCCTCCAGAAAAGAGGCATTAGAAACACCAAAGAAAGTATCACAACAGTATTGTAAGTTTTTCTTAAGAGGTCCCACACCCAAGAACGGAGTCGGCCAGAAGCAGTTTACCCTACAGTATCTCGGCCATAGGTTAGGTGGTAAAGTTGCAGTATGTTTGACACAAATAGGTTACTGCTGACAGACAGAGCAAGTATTAAATAATCAATTTTTTTTTTCATATACAACTACAAAGTAACATAAAGTTTAGTTTTCCCATTACTCTAACAGTGAAAAGAAGAATAATATCGAGTGAGCTTAAAAATACTCCAACCACACTAAGCTATGACTATGATCAGGGCAAGTCTAACAAGCAAAAGAAAAAAGATTAATCTGAAGGAGAGCATCCCAACAAGTATTTCCCAACTTTGGGAAGAGCAACATTGATATCAATACAGGATGATCTAATTATTTAAAAATATATACAGTCCAAAAGGCAAGTACTATGTCTCTTCTTGACTACAGATGGATGAGTCCTGACGATTATCCTTCAGAAACAGTCTCAGAGCAGACGGATGGTTACCAGATGGAGCTACCTAACTTGCATAAGAAAAAGTTGCCAACCTAGAAACATTTAGGAAGAACTTTCCCAACAAAACTAGCTGGAAGAACCAATGAAGGTACTTGCAAAACACTAAAAGGAGTAGTGAGTAAAGAATAAAAGTTAGTAAGATCCTTCCAAAGAAAAGCAGCATCCTGAACAGCAGCAACAGCAAAACAAAATACCTGAGATTTGGCAATATAAAAACTAAGAAAATCTGCTGTATCTCAGTTGTACAAAGTTGATAGCACTCTTCCTTCTAAAGAAAAAAGTATTAAATTAAAAAAAATTGATCATTTAGTGCATCAGTTTTTTTGTTTTTTTTTTTAAAGGACGATGCACTCTCTTGATATTAAAGGGTGATACGTATTAAAAATGGGACACTGGCTAATGGCTTAAATTTAACTTACATGTAAACTCAGACACCTGGTAAGTCACATTTAACAGATAAACATAAAATCCAGATACATCTGACATCTACTTTTCATTTTGAAGGAGTATATAAGGGGCAGCAAAGTAAGAAATCTTGTAGCTACAAAAGAAAACATATATAAGCCACAGATATTAGTGAAACTGGATGACTACAGTTTGCTTATAGATAATACGAGGAGATTTAAATTATTTTTTCCTTTATACTTCATGCTTTGTAGCTTTGCCAGGTAAAACTCATCCAAGAGTGGTTTTGCATTTCTGTATTGAAGTGCGGGATTAAAAAAAAAGCCAAACTACATTAAAAACAGAGTCACTTACTTAAGGATGTTTAATTGTTAACTGCTGCTAAGTTATGTGATACAAGCAATCCATATTCAAGCTTAGTTTGAGCAGCAGGATCTGTAAACCATAAGACTGCAACTTCAGCACCCAAGGAGACTGCCTCTGCCAAAATAAATGCTTATTCTCTCTAAATATTTCTTAGAAAAATTATGTTCCTACCAAAATGATTTCAGACAAATCTATATTTGCTAAAAAAAAAAAAAAAAAAAAAAAAGTTGAATTAAAATCTGCCCTCCTCCCTACCCAGGCCTTACTCAACCCAGAAATGGCTCTATTTCAGCAGCAAATAATATGATTCTGTGTAGAGATATTTAACAAGCTTTCAGAAAGTAAAAACATCTGCAATTCTTCAAAATGAAGACGTGGAATATATCCCACCTGTTTGAAAAACGTGCTTTGAACATGCTTGAAATTGGGAAAGTAAAATCAAATGCCAGAAATTACAAAAACATTTTTTAAAACATACTTGTAGCAGCTGTTCAACGTCTTGTTTTTCCAGGTAAGAACGAGTAACAACCCGTCCATCAAAGTCTACTTCTGCCTTGAATCTCACTTTGCTCATTCCCATGTCTGTGGCTTTAACATCATGAATTGCTCTGAAATACACAATTTTTAAAGAAAATGTAGAACAACACACAGCAAACAATTAGGTAGTTTGAATTCTGGTGTTCACAACATTGTCACAGTAAAACAATTGTGTCATTTTAGAAGGCCATGGCCTTGGACTAACAAATCCTTATCATGCCACCATTCTCCCATTAAATACTGATTTATAGTTAACTAGTTACATCATTTCCATAGGTAACTAAGCCAACACAACTATCCCAACCACACCTATATACAGCTGAATACAGTAAAAAACAAAGTACAAAGAGCATGGTAGATTTTGAACTAGACTAAAATAAAGAAAATAAACCCACAAATACATCCCACAATAGAAAGTGGAAACTTCCCTAATCCTGAGTCAAATTCAAAATTCAATTTGTTTGCTATTGCACACAAGTTTTTGTGCTTTCTTCTGCTCTAGGATATAAAGATAATTTTTTCTGGAATAAGAAATTTATACATGCAATTATTTTAAAATGTATTAACTACCCTGATTTTGAAGAAGAGAACAGTGAGCTGTTGCCAATTACTGAAAGAACATGCTGCAATTATGGAGACTTCCTTTCCTAAATAAGTACAATTTGTAAAGGTATGACTCTCTGGAGAATTTTCCATTCCAAGTTCAATTTGATATGAGACAAAGTTGGGGACAATGTGTTGATTGCACTGAATTATTAAATCATGCCTAATCATAATACAACTGTTTGTAACTGGTGAAAATATTCCATTTATAGATTCCGAATATATTACAGAATATGAACATTGCAGTATGTTTACATTTTGGACCTCCGAAGATTTCTGTTCTTCTATACATACAATCTTACTCCTATTTGTGAATAAACTCCAAGATTTTTGAATGCAGGCAACAAACAAAAAGCCTGCCATTTTTCAGGAATAATAAGGTGTGAAGTAACCTTATGTCTAGATCCTCTAATACGTATTGTAATGCATTTCAAAAACGTAAAATTTTGTGAAACTTTTTTTCTAATTAGATAAACACAAACTTCATCTATCTTTAAAACAAAGTAGAATTTTAAATTGCCATTGCAGAACGTTTCCACGTTTTTTCCATCAAGACCAGGAAGACTAAAACATGGGGTACAAATCACAGAGAAGTTCTGAAAGGTTTTATTTTGACATTTCCAAAGCAATACAAATACCTGACGTCAACTAAAAACTGCAAAGTATTCCAAATGTTTTGGTTTTACTGACAGAAAAATCCAATCTTGGCAAATTTAAAATTCCAGCATAAAAATCTAGATTCAGCAATAAAGCTCATCTGATGGAAAGTACAAAATTTTTTGCACCTATTTTACTAGGTTGTGCAATTTCATAGCACCTTTAAAATTAGGGTGCGCTTTTGTCTTAACCATTTCATTTGCTCTGCCCAGTTAGAAATGTTCCTTCACATCTGAACACTCATGCATTAGAATGAATTTCACAGAGGGCAGCGGGTGGAAGTGGAAGGTGTATTTCAGAAGTAGCCTTCTAAAATGAACCGCCTGCAGAGAACAGGAGGAATTTATTGTAATACTCAGCAGAAGAGAGTAGTATTAAACACATTTAAAAAAAAAAAAGAACAAACTAAATACTGACACCAAAAAATACATCCTTAGTAAACATGTAAGAAGATTAGAAAAAAACAGCAGCTTACTAGTAGCTATAAAGAATTTCCAGCTCCAATCAAGTTTCCACAGTAATTGTGGGAAGCCACCAAATCAAAACGACATTGACTCAAGTAACCAAAAATGGCATCAAACTATCTCCTCACACAGAAGGGTATTTAAGATATGAGATGTGGTTCAGTGAAGATTATTGAAGAGATTTTGAATTCATGTGATTCAAAACCGTTGAAAAACTATCAAGTGCAGATATATCAGAGCTAGGAGAGAGGATGATAAAAGAAATTTGAGATTTTCATTAGACAGTAATTTGGTATCAAAACTCAGTGGGATGATGCATGTATTGTATATGTAAATTTAAAAACAAGAAGTCTACCTTACTGTTTATAACCTGTCCCGAAAAGATAAGACAGTGAGTCAGGAGGAGAAAGTCACTAGTAATTCAGAAGTACAAATATGCATGCTAAAACTTATGTTGCAAAGCTTGTGCATGGAAGCTTCTGAGTGGCCAGTACAGACCATCAGTTCAAACTAAGGAACAGAGTAAGTTTGCATTAAAGCAGAATTTGTCACAGAGGACTTCAAGTTATGAATTGTGAGCCATCAGTAGAAATACTTTTTTTTTTTTTTAAACTAGAATGATATATTCTCCAACACAACAGTAGTACAACTACCAAATAGTTGTTATAAGCAAAAAATAAAGATGAAATAATCACTAAAAATTAGTAGGTACCTGGGCACCAGTTACAGCTTTCCACAGGAATAAACTCAGCACAGCCTGTACCAAATAAAATATTTTATTTCACAGTTTCAAAAGTTTATTTTCCTAAGTTTGAATTAAGCTGAATACAAGAAAGAGGCAGCAAAATCTGTGAATGAGAGTTAAGAATGGAACATTTATACCAGAAAACATAGAATCAAATAATCTTTCAACAGAAAGAACAACTGCAACTGAAAGGCCCTTATAGTTCACTGATGAAGTAAGGGCTACAAACAGAAATTACAGAGGAAAAATACATAGGAAGAGTAAGTAAATAGCCATCAGTATAAAAAGAAATTATGAAGTCCAGGAAACTGATAGGGCATTACTAGCAATGTGAAGGAGTTAGTTTTTGTTAACACAGCAGAAACAAAGGATAACTTAGAAACAAACCTGCCTCTAGATGCAAAAGGTAAAATTTTTTTTTACTAATAATACAGAATAGGTAGAAATATGCAACAAGTACTGTATTCTTGATGTGATAAATTAAAACAACAAGCTAGTACAACAAAGCGTTTCTCAGTCTATTAGTAACCAAGAGGCTTATCGGATAGTTAAAAAGAAATAAAATACTTCTAATTCAGCAGGCTCCATAACCTGCATTCAAGAGCTCAAAGAAATAAAAGTAACCACGAAGGCCAATCAATTTTTCATCTTGCAGTACTCATGAGATTGAAAAAAGTATTAACGACACTGTGCCAAAGTTTAAGAACGGCAAATAAGATAATCCAATTAACTAAAAAGCACTTCACCTGAAAACATAAGGCAAAATAGTGGAAAAGCTGAAAAAAAAAGGTATGTAAAGAGTATTAATTCCAGTCAACAAGGTTCTAGGGAATGTAGGCCTTGCCAAACAAGCCCTACCAAAAATAAAAAAATAAATCAAGATTTAGTTGAAAAAAAGATTAGTAACACAGAGATCATTTATTTCAGTAGTGTATCAGTTAGTATTATCCAATAACTCAAGTACTTTATAATTATCAATAGATAACTCAAACGTTTTATAATTATCACTAGAACATCATGTTCAGGTGACCTACTGATAGAACAATAAATTGCGGGGTGGGAGGGAAATCAGAGCCTCTGATCAGAGCCTCTCTTCAGTCAATTTGAACCCAAAACGCATTCTGATAAATGTCAAATTATTCCCAGGTATATCCCCCCCTTCATATTTGGCTGAACGCATCTGAAAAGAAAGATCACAAACCCTCCGTGAAAGAAAAAAGATTCTATTCTAGGATGCAAACTACTACAAAAAGGGTTGCGTTAGGAACTCATCTATGGCTTGACAGCCAAAGACTCTGAAAGGCTGAAATTAAAAGTGCAAATGTTAGTCACAGCTGTAAAAGAAGCCCAGTACTCAGGATTTGTTTTTCCTTTGCCTACGGTGACAGTAGGAAAAATGCTAAAATAGTACATACAGTGACCATGCCCACATTTAAGAAAATGTGGGAGTTTGCAGGTTTGAGAAAATGCCTGAACTCTTACAAGTCCAAAGGTAAGTTGATCAAAATGTACAAGTAGCCTTCGGGATAAGTACTTGATGCTAAAAGGATTTCTTCTGTCCAAAAAAAAAAAAAAAAAGCAAAACCAAAAACAGAAACAAAAAACCCACACCCACAGCCTGAGGTTGGAGTAAGGGAAAAAAAAAAAGATAGAGTAAGTTTTTCCCCCCCAAATATTTCATAATCATAAGCAAGGGTAATATACAGCTATACACCATACAGAAGTCTGAGATTAAGACCAGGTATCTTACTAGAAAATGTAATATAACTAAGCACAAGGTATTAGAGGAGCTAGACAAAAGACAAGCTGTGCAATACAAAGGAATTGAGCCAAATAATGTGATGGATCATACATACAGATCACTCAAGATAGATTGCACACAGAAGGCAGACAGTGTTACAGAAAGCTCCTGAACATGCTTCAGCTTCTAGCCTTAAGAGAAATATGCATCTAAGCACTTAACCACCATAAGAAGTCTTCATTTTTCTACCTTCATGCTTTTTTAAAATTAAGTTACTTCTTGTTTTAAAAAAATGTTTTTGGCCAGGAGAAGATGAACTAGATCTGCTCTGTTGAGAAATTAGGGCTGTTTACAGAGTGGAATATAACACTAAATGTTGTTTGGCATAGGAGAAACTGTAGGATTCTAGGATTCCAACCTGGGACAAGCAAGGATTCACTTTGGACAAAACAGCTATCAAATCACAAGCAAATAGCCCTGTGAACTCCACTACTCTAAAACAACGCTGTTAACGTATGTTCCACCTTTCAAACATGGCCATCACAGTGCTTTAATAGAGCTTAGTTCCTGACAAGTGAAAATTCTAACACAGCCCTACTCCATAACAGGGATCTTGTTTGTAACAACATGCCGAGCCTCTAGAACGAAGAGCATGTTGTTCTGATCTGTTGCTTGCCGTTGAGATGATGCATTGCTTAGTTAATACAGGAATACTACTTGAAACCAAAACTAATGGGCTTGGAGTTTTGTCCACAGCTCAGTAACAACTACAGATAAAAAAGCCCTAACATATTCCAGCTGATTTGCACCAAAATATATACCTAAAGGTTAAGAACAAAAAGGGGGTTGTTTCTAAACCAAGGTTAATAGGGCTAAAACTAGCTAAAATAGCTCCTTAAAAGCACTTTAAACAAGACATCAGAATTCCAACAGCCTGTAAGTTTGTTATTTCACTGCGAATTGCAGACTTTCAAAGAAAGCAGGGAAATTAGCACTGAGTTCATTCTGTAAGCATCTAATGTGCAGAATCCATTACATCGTAACACTACTGCAGCACTTCACTGACAACTGTTACAGAATTCCAGAGACACTGATACCAACAATAAAGTACAATTTAAATATTTAAGTATTAATAAATTATAAAAACAACGTTACAGTATCGTTTCTGTGCTTGCACTTCATGCATTTAGAAATACTTCTAAATTTGTGATGGCATTCTCTAGATATGTGTCAATTCCTGTAATTAGTAACAGTGAGAACATATTTGACATTTTATTTCACCTATGGAAGAAATGACAGATAGAAGTAGTACGTGCTTATTAAACTTTCTAGCATGTGATAACTAAACTAAGTTTCTAAAATCTTAATCCAGAAGATTCCCTCTTAAAAAAGAAAAAAAGATTTCTCACATTTAAAGTTCTTGAACCATTCTTTTCAAGTGTTATCTTCTTGCTCTTTGCAGGGCTGAGATTTTCAGTTGCCCAGATTCTCACCTGACAACAGGGTCACTCTCCAGTAACTCGGTAAGTCGCTGCAGTTGTTCAGGTTGAATGGATCGACCCAGCAGGGCTTCTGTGTTAGTGTAGATTAGAAATGCTGACACAGTTCCTAGCAAAGTTCCAACACCTAAAGACCCCAAGCTGTCATAATAAGGGTTTCCTAAAAATAATAATAAAAAAAGAAAACCTCAAATTAGTTTCACAGAGCATTTCTAAAACATAGCAAATAATTCAAGTTTCACACCGAAAGAAGAACATAAGAGATGGTTTTTGTTTTTTTTTAAATTCATGTGTTGGCATTTTGTACTTCCCTATTGATGAATAAGATGAACTTGGAAGAAAATAAGTTCTTACAATAAAGTCTCATGTCTCTCTCTCCCTCACTTAGAAAATACCATATTCTCCTGACTCCTCTAGGACTAATAAATCAGTCAATTCTTCTGTCAGCTACTTGAGTTCTGGGATATACATTTAACTTTATGAATATAAAATTATAGACACCTAAAAATAAGTAGCAGCACAATCAAAAGTCTGTTCTTTCATCAGCAAGGCAATGTTGTCTTATGAAGACAATTTTATATAAATATACATATAACTCCATCATTTTGATGCATATATAGAACAGTCCTATATGACTCTTCCTATCAACTTAAAAGCTTGCAAGTATTAACCACTCCCGGAATGCAGAACTTATATAATGGATGTGCTAAACATGTATTCATTCATATTCAGATTTGTTCGGAAACTAGAGGTGGAATGAAAAAAATTAATTTGACATCTATATAAAGAATGAAACTTGTAACTCATTAATATTTGCTTTTCTGTAGGCTTTTAACACATTTATTTTTCTAAACAACTAAAAACCTAAAGCTAGGACTTACAAAGGGACAAATCAGTACTCTTCTCCCTTTAGAAAACTTAACTGTGCAGCAAAGGCAGATTTTTGCAGCTTTGAATCATATGCCACATAGATCATCATATCTGCATGAGTTAGATTTGCCACATTATCTTTGGATTAAAATAACTGCTCCTGATCAACACTAACACCATTCTGTATCTGAAGGAAGGAGAGAACTGCTTCCTTAAATCCTCCCCACGTGCACGTGCAGAGGCATACAACTGAGTAAGGAAGCTCAAATTATATAATCACATTAAGATAGGGAGTGATTTAAATATACTTTTAATAAAAAATACCTTAAGCCTGCCTGACAAAACAGGTCAAAAGGAAGTTAGACCCACTGGCATACAAGTACTCTTTCAAGCTTATTTCCACCAATAATAGACAGATGGAAAAAAAACCCCATACTATTTTCTAATTTTAAATATCTTCCTTTCAATCTACTGGAAATCAGATTAGAAAAGAGTATAAAACCTCCAGAAGCTAACAAAATAGAAGAATCAGAAAAGAGCAGAGATATATTTTCTTCAAAATTTACTTTTAGAAATTTACTCAAATTCCTCAAATCTGAATAGCAGATTGTAACACAAGGGTGTTCAGGGTTTTTTTCCTATTTTTTTTCCTTTTTTTTTTTTTTAAATCACTATAAGCTGCAATTGAATGTCACCAGAAACGGTGGTTTGCATGAAGCAACGAAACAGCAAATGCATGTACAATCTTAGGGGAAGAATTCCGCATAAACTGAAGTCTGCGTAACTAATAAATTTTCCACTGTCTGTAAACCATACAGCAACACATTTTTTATAAAGCGTGAAACAAATGGTCTACTTAAAAACTGAAGAACAGCTGTTGTCAATCTTCAGTTGTTTCTGCTAACAAAATTGACATTCTAGGCAGAGCAAGGTGGAAATAAAGTCATACTATGACAAGAAGTTCAATGAACCTAAAGAATAGCCATATATTTAAATCAACTGGCATAAGCCAAATAAAACATGTTTTGTGTTCATATCATGCACAGAAGAAAACTCGTACCCAGTCTGCCTCATTTTGAGGTAGAATTTACCTGTTAAAGAAGTCAGACCCATACAGGTAGCAGCTACGGCCACACTCAGAACTGCAGCAGCATCCTCCAGTAACACCACATTTGTACTAGGATCACGACTCTGCACAACTGTATGCAATAAAAATTGCACTGCTGTAGAAATCTTAGTCTTGCTTTATTATGCATAGTACTTTACAAACTACATCAATGCAAGCAGGTTAAGAGGAAAAATTTCCAAAAGTATAATATTGTAAAGCATGAATTTTTACATATGCGCACTTTTTTAAAGCATTCATAAATATGTAGAACAAGCCTTACACCACTTACGGAAGCTTCTCCAAAATATCTGAAAATCTAATGGGGGGGGATTTATCCCGAAGAACGCAAAACTACTTTAGTTCAATTGTCTAAGCAGTGCTACTTAAATCAACAGGTTTTTACCTATTTTGTAAAACGTATTTGTTGCTAGAATAGAAAACATATAGATTAAGCGGGTCGGGGGAAGGGAAGATAGACAAAGCTTTCTATAATTATGCAAATACAGATAAATAGATTCTGTTTTAAATAATCACATACCTTATTGTTATAACGACACATACCATATTGATAGAATGAGAGACCCTTCGCTCGAGCACTCCTCCGAATTTCATTTATAGCAACAAGAAGAGTAGCTGAAACAATACCAGAGTAGTTGCTGAAAATGGTTAGAGGCGAAATAATTTATGTCTCAATTTTGAAAAGTGAAAACCTTTCCTTATATCGTAGCAACAAGTCATCTAGAAAGCTCTGCAATCCATACTTTAACCAATGACAAAGTATAAAGCTATACCTTTATCCCCATGCACACCTCCCCACACAAATCAAAATAGTTTATTCATTTATAGTTTAATATAAATATGTTCTCAAATGATGTGTTCACTTTTTTATTACATAGGCAAACGAGGAAAGGAAAAAAGTATTCCCAAATACAATATAACTATCAGCAACAGAGCTCAAAACTTTTCTGTCGTGTAAGCAAAGACAGAAAAAAGCATTATTACTAATAATTACTCAGATTGTACTGTCAGAGGTTAAGAATACACAGATAGAAATATTTCTTAACAAGGTATACCTCCTTCGGATACCAATGATCCTGCTAAAATGCAGTATGCCTGTATGAAAAAAACAAAAAAAAAAGTGTCTCTTAATTATCACATTATACATCTATCTGTACAGATTCCCCCACCACAGACTATTCAAAAGATACATTCAAGAACCCTATTCCCCACTCTGCCATGCAGGTATCCATAATTAAAAGACAATGATCTGATGATCAGCAACATCTAAATTATACAACATGTATTGCAAAACGGGAAAGGATACTGGAAAGCGAGAAGGGAAACTGCAGGGTTTAAAGGACAACTCATTTTGCTGTAAGATCAACTACAGTTCCACATGATTTTTTTCTCGAAATATTCTCAGCAAAGCTGACTGCAATTGTTTTGGGATTCAAACTGACTAAAGAAGTGTATTTCATACTACGCCATTACTTTCTATTAAGCCACCAGTACTATCTACAGGTACAATATCAAACAAGATCTGCTTACCCAGAGAAGAGATTCTATAGGATGAGGATGGAGTAAACCCATGATCCCATGATACCAAGAAAGTCCTGCACCCATCATGAAAATTCCTACTCCGCTAATCAGGGAGGCAATATAGCGCATATTTGTGAAACCATACCTAGATAAAAACAAAGAAAGTGATTTAGGAAAACAAGATTCTAGCTCTTCACAAATATATCTACAAGTTTTTCCATGAAGTTTGTCCATGTCTTGAAAACTAGCACCACATGACTGGGCATCTACTTAAAATACAACTGCTAAATCTTGTCTAATTTAAAAAAAAAAAAAAAGCCCTCTGAAAAAGGATATTTAGTACGTACAAAGATATTTTTCTAATTCCTTTTTAAATAAGCTATATAAATAGCTGTACTAGCTCTTGTGCAAAGACTGAGGTATTTATTAATGTAAACAAATCATTCTAGTGTTTAATGAATATGTTGTATTTACATTTTATTGAAATGTTACTTCTAAATGAAAACTCTGGGCATTGTAGGCAGCTAGTCTACGTACTTTATTCCCTTTAAATTAAAATTATAAAATGTGTGACACCTTTAGGTAGCTCTACTAACAGCAAATTTTCAACACATGCAGTTTTAGGAGTATGGAGAACGTCTAAAGCAATACTAAAGTGTACATTTATTCATCTTTTTTTGTATTAACTGCTACTAACAACAATATATTTCTTTAGGGACATTTAAAAAATAATAGTACAGAATACTATGGAAGAAGAAGGGGAAAAAGTAAGAGAGGGAGGAGCTGCAAAGAAAGTTTAGACAAATTTAAGATTAAAACATTTCTCATATTACTTGATGCTCTTAATGAAGAAAAGTTTATCTAATTCTGTAAGTCAAACATACTTTAACCTATTGCTTATAGTATTAATGATTTGTTCATCCAAAAATGTGAAGGGTAAAGCATGTTATCGCCAAGAAAATATCACAAAGACGATAGCTTCAAGCTTTCATGAAACTGTAAGAACATATCATTAAAATTCTCTATTACTCGGACAAAAAAAATAGTAATTTCAGTCAACTAGAGCTCCTTACTTGTATCAAATGATACAAGTGGTTTCCTCACAGAAACGGGAAAGAGGACAGTAATCTTTTATTTAAAGAGCTTGCTCTTCACGTGGAGAATATTTAGAAACAGAAATGTTTAAGAACAAAGTAAATCTATCCAACAGAAGAGCCTAGAATAACTTTAAGGAACAATGTCAAAAAATAATGCACTACAAAAAGCATATCAAAACAAAAAAACCCACAAAATATAACATGCATCAAGACACTGAAGCTAAAACTCCTGCAGTTTGGCAGACATCCCTATTCTTATTATTTCTATTGTAAAGATAGGGGGAAAAATACACTTTAGAAATTATATTAATCAGTAAATTAAAAAGAACAGGGAAATGCACAGAAAGAACTCATCTTACTCCTATATATAATTACTGAAACCATTATTTACTCCAAAAGCTTACGGATGACTAGGGTCAGGTGTCCTTGCAGACTGACTGATGCCCAAAGCTAGTAATGCCTATTTAGGACAAAAGGAAAAACCATCAGTTGAAAAATGTAAGAAAGATTGACTGAGTTTGAAAGATAAATAAAATCAGATACAATTTGCTTATTTTCACATGTACTTTGTTTCTGATGTTATATTACAGTTGGAATATTGTCCTCAATATCTGCCTTCCACTATCTGCCTCCCATAAGAATTATTAACTGCAACTGTAAGACATTTGTAAATGGCAATTTAAAGAGAGTGTTAAGTGCAATTTCAAGTTTTGTCTTTCTAATATAAAGGGATGTAGTTGTTCAGGAAATACAGCTATCTAAATAAACACCTCTTGAAGAGAAATCATACACAGACTATGGTGACAGCATTCAAAATTTAGCACAATTATTTCACATTGCAGCTTCCTTCATTAGTAAACTTAACATTTTCTGAACTGAACAAAAAAAAAAAATTTTTATCAGTGGTAGATAATACCACTATCAAACTTGATTCACCTATAAATTGACACCCTCTGACAAATTAATCTCACATACCTTAACTTTAAGGCTGTCTCCCCACAAATCCCCCATAAATCTCTAAGTATTATCAGCTGAATTAGTAGCATCCCTCTCTCCACTATACAGCTGGAACAGCAAAAAGATTGTATAAGATCACTAAAAAAAAAAAGAAAATAAAGCAGAACGCAAGTTCTCAACTCAGTCCTTCCAGACAGACAAGCATACTAGGTACAACCAAAGTAAAAAGGGTGGCAAAAACAATGTTAAAATGCTTAAAGTCTGCTCTGAGGGTCAGTACGTTCCTCAAAGTTAGAGGAGCATAAGACCTTTTTTTTTTTTTATAGCAGCCTCATATCATAGGCTATCCTCCTTGTTTGCCAATGGGTTCCAGCTACTCACTTTTTTTTTTTTTTTTAAATTTCCCAGGCCTGCTACACCAAGAACTGCAGAAAAAGAGGATTCTTTCTACCCTGGAAAGAGGGAGATTGCCAGGTCTCACAACGTATGGCTCACACACCCCTGGGAAACAGTGGAAAAGTCAACACTAATCTGGTCCCTTCACTCTAATATAACACACCCAGCTCTGAGTCTGTCACATCACCTATTAAAATGAACATGCCTCACGTGTGGCTAGTTGTGCTACGTGTGGCCACCAGACAATCTAGAAGCAGAAAAAGAAACCATGCCGCTCACATTCTCAATGTTCTTCTACCAAGAGACGTTTAAGCAACAAAATCTGTCAATTCTATACCTGGCAGCGAAGGTGTTTCAAGTTAACATTTAACCAAAATAATAAAGACGTATGCTTTGCAGATCATCTTAGTTTCAAGCCCCACTGATGATCCATGAAATAACTCAGTATGGTTCTACTTACTGCAACTCCTGTCTTTCAATTTAATTCTAAAAAGCCTTAAGAATCTATATTCTGACTTGTTTCATTCTGACATTAACATGAATTTTAAAAATACCACAGAATTTTAATTTTAGAAGCATCAGGACACACACTCAATAATGCTGCCAGATGACCAATACCTCATTCTTGTCTGTTAGGGCAGTGAGCGAGACCGATGACTATGAGGAGAGAGAATGTAACTCGAATTACAGGGATTCGGCACTGACACTGCTCTCCCAAGGTTAAAAATGGTAATGTTGCACATATGCTTTGTGACAAATAAAATTAAGCCTGTTCTGGGAACTATTTCCTAATGTTTGTATATTTGACTAATATTTTAACCTTTTTGGAGTGCAATTTCAGCTCATTAGTTAATGAAAGGGAAAAATAAGTCGCAACTGAAGTATGCAATGCTCTATTATATGAAACACCATGAGTTTAGAAAAGAATAGAGAAATAATTGAGGTGAAGTTGAAATAATGTAGATGTATTGCACATAGTATTACATGAGCAGAAAAAAGAGTCTAAATATTAAAATAGACTTCACTTATGATTATGGGTGATTCTTTCTATATGTAACACTTCTAAACTAGATCAATGTTTCTGCTATTAGTTTATGAATTCTCCATCAAATCACTGACATCAATATAAAAGGTAAATAAAAGATCAGCTGGATAACATAATACCTGTAGAAACCTCTAGTTTTGGAAAGTAAACGCGCAACAGAGTAACAACAGCTTTGTACTCAGGCTGGGAAACAGCACAAAGCTCTTAGCAGTGTTTCTGCAAGTAATGTGAATTCCTAACAAAATGTGTCTTCATCTGTTTGTAGTTTGATAAAAACTGTAAATAACAATAACATTACTTTGCAAGTGAAACTCACTTTTGTCTGCAGAAAAATAAATATACACATACATATTACAGGTACACAGAAAAGAGTACATTTCCTACTGCAAGCACACACAATTTGTCACACTGTAGGCAAGCTATGTAATCTGAGTGACTAAACCCAGAAAATATTCAATAATCAAATTTAAAAAATAAACAACTCTCTCAGGTGTAATGGTTGAGCTAAAAAAAAACACCTTAAAACTGTTGTGCTCTGATATTATTTAAATGGCCATTAGATTAAGTACTAATTTTTTCTTTCCAGATTATACTACTACTAAGCATGTAGACCATACAAGCTAGTGCAAAAACGAACACACAAGTACTGAACAGGAAGATTACAGTAAATAAACATCACAGCTTAATCTGAAAGTTATATTTAATAAAGTTCATGCTGACAAACATGGAATTTCTAGGCTTTTCTCTTCAACTCCAATTTCCTTTACAAAGTATGTTCATACATGACAAGAATAAAGAATTCGGCCATGTACCCTAGTCTCACTAAATAAAACACGAATATGCTTTCATTTCTCCATTTGTTACTATTTAGACACTATAGGCTAACTAACGATCACTAGTAGATTGTATTATTGCTTTCAACCGTAATAAAATTACTGTAAGTATCTATCTTTAAAAACACTCACCTGGTTGCAAGTGTCTGCTAAAGAATGTATGGCTTCCGAAAACATACTTGCAGAACCCGTGTAAACCCAAGCAAGTAGCTTAAAGAAAAAATTCAACCCATTTCTGAAATTAAAGAAAAGAAATAAGCTAAACAACAGAATATTTGGCCCTTAATATTTTCAGTAAAACCACAAGCATTGTATAATCATGCACTACCTGCCAGCAAGTAATGAAACCAAATAGCAGTTCATTAGGGACCTGTACAGGCAGATAAGGCACACACATTTTCTGCATGTATACTATGTTAAAAAAAACCCTTTCAGCCAAACTTGATATGTAAAATATACACTTTATTTTTCCTGAAATAGTTAACTTTAAGCAATGCTAGACAGAGTATGCTTCCTGAAAGCTAACATCACATTCAGAACTCAGCGCAACTACTTGCCTATCTCTATACTCATATCAAGCTTTTCCCATCAGTGGAGGAATACAGGCCTTACTAATTCCCTTTTCTGTTACTTCAATCCTTCCAGATCCCCTCACAATACTGAAGTGCAAAGTTCCCCACTCCAGTCTCAGCTTGGGCAGTTCCTAACAGGATACAAACATAAAATGACATACAGGAAGACAAGACAGGGAATAACCAATAGATTATGCTGTAACAATTTTCTAAGATAATTTCCATTAAGATATCCAGTGTGATCTGTCAAGTCCCTTTTAGATTACAAGACCACTAGGGCAAGCATTTTGTTATTTTGTATAGAGCAAGTAACAATTAGTACTAAAATTAGAGTCTGTACTCTCACAAATATAATAGGTTCCACTTCAACCATGTTATCGGTATCAGCAGGCTAACTGTTACAGTTTTGTTACAAAAGAAATCAGACTGGAGGATTACAAAATTCGCCTCTATCTTTTTAAAGATATTTAAGTTTACCTTAAGTTTGGCAATTTTAAAAAAAAGTATTCAAATGACATTTAGTGTTAAAAACAAGTATTAAGAACATGTTGTAATTGCACCTTTAAACAACCACGTGACAAAAAAGTATATACAAGTTGAGGAAGCACAAATCTAGCCCCTTCCCATACACAGAATTATACAGTTTACTGAATAACATTCATTTTAAGGCCACCCATGAAGAATTCCCAAGACGGGAAGTATTATCATAATTTATAGGCACGGAGAGAGAAATGAAAAGCTTAGGTTAATGAATACCCCAACCAGAAAGGAAGTCTGTTATAACACTAATGCACAATTGAATCCTCCTGTTTTAATAACAATTTCTTTCAACTCACAGCACAGTACAGCGTTAGCACAGGAAAAAAAAGGAAATAAATTACAGTGGGATTCATGAATATATTATTGGCTTTATATTCTTCTTCTCAGTGTTGCATTAATGGATTTGACAGCTTATCTGAAGGTGCAGTTCAGTTGTAGGGCCCCCATCTGTTCAGATGGCACAATAGGGACTCAGCTAATATTTTACTTCACCCCCACAAATTCCATGTTTGGGGGGGGGGATCTGACATCTGAGAACTCTAAAGAAACAACCATGCTAAGCTTTTCAAGTGTCAAGTCCAGCAACATTATTAATTTATTAATGATGCCCAGGAGATTGGAGATAGAAGGTAGAAAGATCAAGAGTGATATATAATAAATGTATCGTAAAGAAAATCGTGAGTCAAGAACTATTTGGTGTTTCCTTTCTAACAAGATGTTCATATCAACGTTAGACAATAGATAAAAGTCAGTTGTGAGGGAAAAAAAATCAGATTTTTGCCGCAAATACAATATATTTCACGTAAAAATAAAACTAAACCAAATTCACCACTGCGTTTCAAAATAATACAAGAGCTATGAAAGCCTAAATTCTATTCAGGAAATATTACAAAGACTTTAAATAGCAGAGGAGAAAATAGCCCAAAACTCTGAGAGGTCATCCAAAATATTCTGAATCAGTTTGATATAACAAAGTCAACTTTTAACACAACTGCTGATACAGAGAATATTTGCTCTATTGTACTGAAATGAGCTAGACTGAACTGAATTAACTATCTCATTTCAAAACCGCATGGACCTGAAAGAATAGGAAATCTTACCGAAACCTAAATGAAAACTAGGCAAAATCTGAAAAATACTCATTCTAGTGTTTTAAATATCATGTCAAGAAACAACAAGTTTGATTCATAAGTTAATTATAAATCTCTTGCTTACTAAGCCAAACTTTTAATATACACAATACGTTCTAATAAGTCTCTCTTCTGCATCTAGAAAATAAATAGTTTCATTCAACACAACTATGCTTCTAACTATATTACAAAGCCCACAGAGAAGTCATACATTCACCAACAAAAGGAAAAAGTAAAAAGTAAAAAAAAAAGTGTTGAAACAGATATACAATATATCCTCCAGGGTGTCTTTACAAGTTTAGTGAGAAGTCGGAATGTAGTTGATAACTTTAAAATGTATTGAGATGCAATCAGAAAGAATCAGCTTTAAAAAAAAAAAATTACATAAATGCAAAAGCAGATCAAAATAAATTATTCAAACTTTCTAATTTAAACAACAATTAAAAGAAATTCAAATAAACTTATCCCGCCAGAAAGCTGTATACTTTAAAAAAAAAAAGGGGTTTAGTACTTTTTTTAAAATTTATAATTCCAAATTTGTTCCAACAAAGATAACCACCTTAAAGCCCAGAGAGGCATGTGTTGTATTGGAATTACAGGGAACTGAAAAATATATACACGAGGTACCCGCATGTGATTGCCCACTATTTATACTCTAGCTTACACCAAGAGATAATGGACTTAGAAGGACTTCGTCTGATTTATAACCATTCTTGTACACCTATGTAAATTATTGAGGCTTTTGAAAAGACAGCAATAAATAAATGTTGAAATGAATAATCAAACCAAACATATCCAGGTTCATTATGGGTGTCTAAAATCTAAGTTTGAAAACTAATGCATTTCATCAGACTTATTTCCAAATAAACAGCAACATGAGAAACATCCTTTGCCACTAGCACTTTTAAGAAATACTATACACCATGCAAAGTTTTTGCTGTCTGAAAAGATAATAATATTAGCATGACCATAAAATCACCTCAACGATGGCATACTCCAAAGAATTTGTTTAGTTAGTGTTGTTATCGGATAGGAATGAACCAACATTGTGTTCTGTTATTTCTTCAACATGGCTTCAAAGTTTCATTCTCAGACACAGAATTCTGTCTAACACTGTCGAGTCTACCAGCTCAGATAACTATGTCCTCACAGGTGGATCCACAGGCAAGAACTCTTCTGTTTGAACCCCATTTCACTCGCACTAAGGAGAACCGAAGTTTGCAAACAGCCTACCAAATCATTCCAACTGGAAAAGTTTTGAGATAGATTTGCCTTTCCTGACCCAAAACTAGACTCCAAAAAAGCCCATACTGATGCCAATGAGATCAGCACCATAAACAAAGAAGTCTTGTATGTCTTGCACTGATGGCATCTCTTGAAAATCCATCTCAATCTCTGAAAATTCATCAGGTATTTCAGGGTCGCAGTAGATCTTATAACTCCTAAAAAATTTCACATGAAAGGTGACTAAGCAGCACAACAGGTCCTACAAGCTTCTGCTGGCCTGGCCTTCATACATTCTTCTTTACAGGCCCTAATCATCTGAAAGGTATTTATGAAGGCAAGACTGCAGCACAGGAAGTGCAATGTTTATAGCAACGTCCAATTCAAAAATCTGGAGGCAAAGTCTATACATATAGATTATTGTAGAAGAAAATTAAGGAAGTAGAGGAAAGATGGGGAACTATCAACATACTTTTATTTTTTTTTTGGCAATACAAACATCCATACTAGCTGTTCTCTGATGTTTTTACTGTAGAAAGCTCTGAACAGTTAATAATAAAATGCTCTGAATAAAGAAAGAAGGAAGTTTGCAGTCAAATCAGCTTTGTGTTCTTTTCCCAAGCAAAAAGCATACACTTTTGCAGGAAAATTCAGAGCTATTTCCTGCTTAAAACATTTCTTGTGCCAAAAAAAGCATCTCTAGCCAAAAGAGTTGGCTCAATTTTCTCTACCTACATATCTGTTTTGCTCCCTTATGTTGATAGTGCTTTAGAAAATATATGTTTTTTTTTAAAAAAAAACATATAAAATTGATCTGAAAAAATTACAGCTATTTGACATGCAAATTTTAGATATAATTTCCTCAGAAATACTTAACATACTTATGTGCTTTTCATACTAGATAGACTCTGTGTTCATTTGCTTTAAATTAGGATTATTATAGTTTCATTTTGCTTCATCCAAACTTGTAAGACACATGAAAGACAAAAACCTCCTAAAATATCCCATCAGTTGAAAACAGGGTTTGAATAGCAACACAAAACAAAAAGAGAAGTATTTTCTGTTATTTATATGGAAGATTGCTTAAAATATGTAAAAAGCTTCCTCTCGTAAAGGAGCAAAAGAAAGAACAATTTTAAAAGCTGGCCTGCACACATCCTTCAAAATTTCTGTTATTTTAATCAAATTGTTTAGCCTGATCGTCTTTATAAAATGCAACAAAAAACACTATAAAAAAATGAGCTCAGTAATGCATGCACTTTCTGATGTGGTGACCTTGCTTTTTTAATATTGCACAAAATATTAAGTATATAACAGCTTGCTTTTATCTGTTATGTAGTTTACATTGTGTACTTGCATCTGTTAAGCATAAGTAAATTTCAGAAGCCCAAGCTGCAGTACTCTGTGGAATTTTGGGGTTTTTTATTTTAATAAAGAAAGAGGAATGATGCCTACATGTTAACAGTTTCTTCCTTTTTTTCTTGCTCATTTCATTGGTTTGTTTATTAAATTAGCAGAAGTCATTTGAAGAGAGCTGTTTCGTTCTCAGAAGTTTTCTGATCAGTCATTTATACAGAGGTTCAAGTGCGGATTTAATGGTCTGCTTTCAGGCAATCCAACTTTTCATATTACATACTTTTAAATTAAGAGATCCTTATCTTCTCGGAGAAGTTCTAGATCATTCTTAGGCTTTTCGCAACTTCACAGCCACAGATTTGTAAGAAAGGTATTTTTAGCTCAAAAACACACACTGTTCCCATTTTTAGGGCAACAAAAAACAATGGTTTTTGTACTTGCACATATGAAATATTTACTTTTTTTACACTTACATGCAAATAGCCACCATTACCACCTTTCCTGGTCCCTTGAGAAACATAGATGCTGTACTGGAGCGTGGCTATATAAAGAAATAAGAGATTATTAAAACAAGTCACTAAACTAAACAACCAAATCTTGACCTCATGAAGAATCTTCTGTACAAATTATTGTAATAAAAACTTTGCATTACATTCTATTGGAAACATGAAGTTACACTCCTGGAAGTCTACTAATTTACTACTGAATGCTCTCCCAGTCTGGGAGATTCCCAGTTGGGTCTTATATGTTACTATGAATGGATGGCTATAAAGAAGGATAAACAACCAAAACAGCCTCCACCAGGGGCCATTGCAACCACAAGGACAACAGCAAGTTTTGCAGGAGAAAGATGAAGAAATCAGTCTGCCATGACAAAACATTTGGATCCAGGGAACGCGTCTGCTTAAGGAAAGTGGAAAGGCCAATAATAATGTAGGGCATAGAGTAAAGTGTTAACAATTTTCCATTAACAGACCTATTTCAGTTTTTCTAATTAACAATATATTTATTATACTTCATATTATGTTAAGGTATAACAACATTATATTAAAGTATATTATATACAACTTAATTATATATTATGGACAGTGGGTAGAATCACAAACAGATGTAATTTTACTAAAGAAGGTAATTAACAAAAAACTTATCAGTGGATTGCACTCCCACAGCTGGAACCCATTTAAACTGTGCTAATAAAATTAACCACTGCTTTACAATCAGAGAAAGATCTAGTGTATTGCAGTGAAAAAAACTTTACAAGACAGTCTAGTTACTTATGCTTATACATCTGCTTCACTTCTTTCCTTCGAAAAGTATCACATTGCATCTTGTGGCATTTTTCTAGCCAAAAACTTTAAAATAACTCCTACCTTAGTATTTCCAAAAAACTCCTTGTACTCCTTCAACAGCCTTTGGTTTCTAAATAGATCTGCAGGACAAAATTATTATCGTGAACACTTACTAGCAATTGCAGCAGTTTAACGAATTCAAGTCTATTTTCTTTATACAGCAGCTAACAATCTGCTTATGTTAAAGCAAGATGGTCCTATCAAATTAACATCTCTTAAAAGGATCTCTGTCTGCAAAAAACTCTCCCATTGTTAATCAGAAATATACATTTTCTGGTATTTTGTGTAAACGTATAATACTATCTGTTACGATCTTACACATTATCACCATTTCTCCAAAAAAAGGACAAGCAGAGGAGAAAAAAAAAAACTCCAAACACACCATTATGGCAATCCTTGAATGACCAGGCACCAAAAAAAAAAAGCTGTATAACCAGGGGGGGGCGGGGAAGGACGGAGAAGAGAATATGTTGCAATGAAACTCTTAAGTGCAATAGTTTTTCCATTCACTACTTATGCCCAGTAACTCATAAATATACACTGGTATACTGTAGTATCTACACACTAGTGCTAGATCCTCTTCTATAATATTATACAAACATAACACCTGTGTCATATAAAACAAAACATACACAATCATTTAAATAGATTAAAACAGCCAGTGGAGTACAAGGATAAAAGCAATACTAGTCTGTAGGAAGGGAAGCTACCACTTCAGACATACAACGTTTCAGTATGCCCTTACAACTGAGCAGTAATTTTTTATTCTTGCTTTTTGGATTGAGGTCTGAGAATTATTTTGCTGATCACTAAAACCTTAAGAGTTACTGGCTGCACAATCAGTACAAGTGTCTGCAGTTCTAACCTTTTTACTAACAGAGTTTTTTTTCAGTGGCAGATTTGTCCCCACAAATGAAAAGATCTCGAATATTAAGATGAATAATTGGAATAAGAACCTTTAAGCCTTGAAGCAGTATTGCTTCTCTTGAGATTTTAACTGACCTAAATGACTAAAATCCATTATAAACTACTGATTTTATAGCTTTTATTGATAATGGCAGTACAGATGACAACAATTACTTCATTTTAAGCAAAAAGCTGATTCCCCCCCACGCACTTTCAAAGCACAGAGGTAAGCTGAACTCATTCAGAGGAAAAATAAATGGATGAAGATACGATATCAAGATTCAGGGTGGTTTTAAGTCTTTTGAAAATTCTCAGTTAAAGAAAAAAAAAATCCAAAAGCAACGATGATGTTTATTATCACCTAAACATTATAAGCCCAAAAATACAGAATATGACTATGGCTCTCCACTGGATACATTTTCTGATTATATCACAAAGACAGTCAAATGTAAGATAGTAATAGACTGTATCCACACATAGGAATGTATTATGCTAACTCTGTGCTATAAAATCTTACCAGAGATTGCTAACTCCAAATTTCTGTATTCTCAATGCAATGCCACGTGTGCTCACCATCTCATGGATTTCTAACCCTCATATTTTGTTGTTTATATTTGAAATTATTTGCAAACTCTATACTCACTTTCTCTATACTCGATCTCCGCTTCTTTACGTCGTTTTCTTTCTCTAGCAAGAGCCTCTGGACTACCCCAAACTTCAAGAGACCTGCACAGAGTAAGAATAACTTAACTGCTATTTATGCAAGTTACAATCCATGAAACAACACACCTGTAACTTCTTCAGAGTTTGACTAAAGAGTTTACATAATCTAAGCCTTTCTTAAAAACAAAACATCATTCTTTCCAATAAGAAACCACACAGACTATTTTGCAGAATAAAAAGCTTAGGGAGGACAAGTGTTTCATCTCTAGACACATAAAACACACCCTTCAGTTTTGTATATACCATGTAGTTACTGTAACAGTGGGGATATAAAATGTGTTCAGATAGAAAATGGAAAATACTATTGCCCTTTTACATTGTAAACCTCACTTTTAAAAATTCTCTCTCTCTCTCATATAACCCATTTAGATGATGCAACTATTTTCCTTCACAAAAAAGTTCTTACTTTGCCTCTACGTCCGATCTCAAGTACACAGTGAAAGTCTCAGTGTCATCATGGGGGCTTCGTCGTTTAATTTTCCTCAGCTGGTCTAAATCACTAAGGAAAGTGGACAGTTTAGTGCAAGAAAAAAATTCACACTATTCTAATTTTATTTTTGTGTCTGTTTTATCTTCCACAATTCTAGTATAACGGGCAGTACAGAAAATGGAAGTTGTCCACGTCAGCCAAACAGAATGGATATGCAACATGAAGTAAGCTATCTCTAGGAAGCTCTTCAAGGTCATTTTGTTTTCCCACAGCCAAAAATCCAAATCACATCCTCACACTACAAAATATTATATACGAAAGAAGAAGTAATAAAGCATTTCCAGGGAACAATCTGCAGGCAACTGATGATACGTAGCAGCGAAAAACAAGAGGGCCCACAGTTTACCATCGCTAAATGGAAATCAGAAGTCACATGGCACTAAAAGTTAACAAAGTTATCCTCAAAACCTATACACCCAGCTCCACCTACTCATTTCTGCAAAAGGTCAGAGACAATAAAACAAAAGTGATTCACAGTAAGACCTGCTGGCAGGAATGGCACATGGTAAGAGCCAGTAAATATGAATCAGCTAATAGTAGTCAGGCTACAAGGAACCAGATTACATTTTATTCCACATTGTAGACCTCAGCTTAATGTACAAACTAGTAAAGGACGCAAGAGTTCCATCAACACAACATGCTATAGACTTCAATTGTAACATGAAATTTCCAGTGCTCTTTCAGAGATGTTCTGCACATCAGACCATTGTGACCTCAAACCACTGAAACAGGAGTTATTTGCCATTCCCCGTCATAACTATCTGCTCTAGAGGCAGACTCCCCCTCCTGCCCCGGGTCCCCAAGCTAAGCATGTGATCCTATACACACAAGTAAGTTGCTTTAAGAAGCCACTGCAGAGACATGCAGACAAAGTGCAAGTTCCTGACCCACTGTAATACCAAGGAAACAGAGCTAACTTTAACCAGCTACGATTCTGTATACTGCAAAAGCGTTTAGAAGAGTTATTGTGCGAAATCACGCTACAATAGTTAATACTTTTAAAGCACATACAAGCAAATATAAGCATTCACAACTTAAATTGCACCTCAAACCCATCATACCTGGATTTAAGACAAAATTCATTTATTGCTCTGACTCCAGTGATGAAGTTATTTTGTGTATATTTTGGTCCATAGTCTCTTTTTTTAAGGACTGCTTTCACTTAAAAACAGAAAAAGATAAGCAGTTAAGTCATTCATGGAAACTACAATAGAAACCTGAAAAGGTAATTCAATCTAATATCAAATCACAGTACCTCTAAGTGGAGAACCAAAAATCATTGCTTATCAGGGGGACAGAAAACTTACAATGAAGAAAAATGAATGTCCTCAATGGTGGAAATAAGTAAGAGCAGGACTCCATCTCCAGCTGTGCAAAGAATGCTATTCTGAATCTGAAAACGTTGCTTGCAAATAAAGTTTTAGTTCAAAGCTCTCAAACATCCCACACGCCTACTGCTGTCAGCTACATCTCCAACCGAATGCCAGAGATGGTGCTTCGTTACTAAGCATTCATGTACAGCAGTTTGGAAACCCTTGTTCTAGCAAGTGAAACGGCAACTTAGAATTTGTCTTCAGTACTTAACCAATTTCTGAATTCTTCTGCAGATCAGGCTTTTTGATTTGCAGATCATATGAAGAACTGAGATAGGCAGCATACATGGTTTTTCCTCAACTATTATTTTCAAAACAGCCACACAATATTGCACATCCATAACAATTAAAATATACATTCTTTATCTATAATTCTGTGTACATCTAGAAAATTTACTCTTATCACATCAGATATTTATGTACAAGAAATAAAGGAACACTCGACTTATTTAGAAATAGGATAAACAGAATTTCAAACTCATGCCACTGTTGCCTGTTTGTCTATACATACATAATTGAATTCATTTTCAAATTTAATATATCATAAACTTACTTCTGTGAAAACCGTTAAGGAGATTTGAAAAGGAGTTACAATTGCTGAAGGATATAATATTAAAGAACTGAAAATATCCGAAAACGGAAAGCTCAAATATTACAGGCAAGAAGACTTACGAACACAGCCTTTAACTTCCTATCATGGGAGCTCACACAACCCTTTCTGTATTTAGTTCAAGGCTCCTCCTTGAGTCATAACATACATACAGAAAAATTTTGCATTTAAAGACCTTAAGAAAAAATTTTCAGAGTTCTGCACTTTCTTATTTCTGAGTTTTGAAATCTTCAAGGCAAAACACATTGCTTGACACTCGACACTCCACAAACATTACAGATACCAATATCTACCAAGATAATCTGATTTCTGTCATTCAGTTTGAACTTAAATAGTTGTTTTTGAAGTATTTAAGTAATTGCATTAATCCCACAAAACCCTTAAGTGAGTGTCAAAAAATAGGCATTTCATAAAAACAGTTCAGCATTCGCTAAGGTTAAAATTGTACGAGCACTTTTTAAATAGGAAGAACACTCCCCTTCTTTTCCTATTTAAAATACACACGTATATCCAAAGTGTCTTAACCCTAGCCAAAAATAACTTGTTGATTTATCAAACACTTTCTAATCCATCTTTCAGAAACGTAGCTAAGTTTCACTAGATGAAAATACTATAACTATTTTAATACAGTAACAGATCTCAACAATCCTACCCTAATGTTCGAGTAGCTGTGTAAAACTGATGATAAATATGAAAAAGATATCTATTTGTATTTCCACTATACAGACAAATGCAACATAAAATGATGGAGAGACAGTTTCTTAAATAGCACAGATTAAGGTTAGTGTTCCTTTAAAATTATTATTTTTAGCAATACTTGCAGCAATAAGTGTCTAGGTTGCAGCGATCTGTGAAGACCAGAATCCCACTTTCTAGAAATTATCATATTTTTTTTAAACATAAACATTCTTGCTCATATGCCTATAATCAAGAAAGAGACAAAAAGCCCTTTTCACTAGGAAGATGCATGTATTTTTAGATACAGTAAGACTGTGAAGTAATCGCAGCTTCTCCTATCTGCCTTGTATCTGTCCCTTAGACGCACAGACTAAGTGACAACTGACCCAAAGAAACTGACATAACGGATGCAAATAAATCACAAAAAAAACAAATACAGGGAGATATGGACATCAGCTTGTTAGTTACATGTCTTATTTATTATTCAACGTTTCCTTTAAATTAGGGAAGAGGCCGGAAGGAATTCTGACACACTTTATAGCCTACAGTCATGAGCAGAAACTCAGTTTTGAAACGCTTGCAGAGACTTCTTTTTTAAAGGAATTTAATAGAAAATTATAATTTATATTCTGGTGACTTTTTTCCATATACATGATGCTAGGAGTGATCAAAGTACAGGATTTTTTTTTAAAGGATTATTCTCACAATAAGATAATAGAAACTAAATACATAAATGGAGGAAAACCAAGTCATGATAAATTAAGAAACACAAAGTTATCCTTTCATTTTATCCATTTATGCTTTCAAATAATGTAGCTAAAGACATAAAAGCCTGTATTTATTGCAGGCCTGAACGGAAATATTACAGGACTCAGATTAGGTAGTTCACATGGTCAGAATATATTTAGAAGCAACATTGATCAGATTAACTCAGCACTAAGAAGGAAGACGGAAAGACTTAGAACAAGGAGCAGGGCAAGATCAAGTATTCAGTTTAGTCATATTAGGCTGAGACGGTGAACAAACATGGCTAAAAAGATGTAAGGGGGGCAGGCCATGATAACAGAGGAGAAAACAAATTTGTCTTTCCCTGATAAACTAATTGGCTTAATGAAGCAATTAAAAAACAATCCTTGTAGGGTGAACAATTAGGAGGACTAACGCTATACTTGATTTTTCAGGAGACATTTTCAAAAACTGGGCATCAAACAAAACTGACACACAAGTGTTTTTGGAAATGTTATTCACGTAACTTTGAATATAATCAAAGTAACAGAACCCACAGTTTCACTACCCCTATCTTATCTAATAGCAGACAGAAGTAAAGTTATGATACAGAAAGTACTTCCTTACCTTTCACTTGAATTGGCTCTTTCAGGAAAGATTGCTTTTGACCTACACTGTTAGTATCTTGCCCTGTAAAATAAAAATAAAAGTCATTGCATATATGCAAATATCTACCTTTTTTAGTAAAGAGTTTGGTTGACAAGATAAAATCACAATATAACTTAATATAGCTTTCCATCATGACAATTAAAAAAATGTTCTTACTAGATCTCCAACACTTAAAATACTCTCAAAATATGAGAGCTAGATAATAAGACATTTAACTTAGCATTGATTAGCAAATTCTTAACAGCTTGCAGAAAACTGCAAACTTGAAATATATCAGAGAAAGACTCAAAAATTAAAAAAAAAAAAAAAACACCAACAACAGAACAAAACTGTATACTTACAGTTTGGGGGAATATTTAGGCAAAATTTTAGACTAATATAATGAATTCTGTTCAGTTTATGACAGTTCATAACTATTAATGCAGTTATGATAGCTAATTATCAGAATTTTATACAGCTTTCAATAGGTAACCCAATTATAAGAGACTGAAGCTTCTTAATATAAAAAAACCTATTTTTTTAATACAGAAAGTTTAAATCAAAATCCACAACTCACGTCACAAGTTGAAATTATAATTAAAGCAATTAGTTGTTTTTGAAATTTGAGGATATGACTTGATAAACATTAAATAATATGTATATTAATATTTATTTTCTGTAAAATATAATTTACAATACCATGAAGTGAGTCTTCATATTTGGAAATTCATAAATTCCAGCAATTTAAGATTTCTAATCACAAACTAGGAATGGCACTAGATAAACCCGACAAATATTGCATGCTTTTTTCATACATCTTAGCCTAGCTTTCAGAACAGAAATCTTATGATTCGAATACCTAGAATCAACATACCCTTTCTTTTGTGCTCCAACATTAACTCTGGAGGTTTGCCACGCATCTGCAGTCATTAATAACATTAAAACTAACCTTGCTGAAAATGATATTCAAAATTTGAAGATCCTTCAAGTAGATTTGTGTTGTTGAATGAGATACACCTAGCTTAACAGGCGATGTGAATTACTTAACAACCAGATAGCCTTGAAGCTTTGACTACATAACTATATTTTTCTTCAGATAATTAGTCATGGCCTTAAAGCAACTGAGAAGTAAGATTAATGACAATCCAAGCGTACTTTCTTGGAAAAACAGCAGTGACAAAAACACTTATAAACTTATTAAACTGATTTTTAGCACACAACAAACAAGGTTGGACTATTAAAAAAACTCTCTTTCTAAAACAGTCATCCTTATCAATTATTGTTGGACTTGAACAGCAATTAAAAGATGCCTTTGCTGCTATTTTCTATTCATTTCTTACCAAGCTTAAAATACATGGAAGCCAACCTGTTATTCTTCATGATAACAGACCTCAACCAAGATTGCTTAGAAAAAACTGAGTGAAAATGCGACAAGTCATTCTCTAGCACTTCAAAAACTCATCATGCAAACTTTTATCTCACTAAAACATATCACATCAACTGTACTTAGCAAAAGGTTAAGTCATAAAGTTGCAGAGAAAAAAAAAATCACACATCAAATATCAAGATCTATATCTGAGCACTAAGACCAAATTAAGTACCCTTTTAAATTTTACTACCTTGGCCTAGAGGCTGAACTAAAAAAAAAAAAAAAAAAGGTGCATCAATGAGAAAAAATATAGAATATTTCAAATCAGGACTACTGTTCTTCAGAAAAGCAAAGGCTGACGATAACAGTACTTTCAAGATGAATACATCATTATTTTCAATACTCCAACAAGAAAAGCATTCCCTAAGTTTATTGATAGAGAAATAGAGGTTCAAGAAAGATCTATAATATGCTGAAGATTTAAGTTACTGGAAGAGCATGGCAATCTTTACAAGAAGTACATGGCCTTTTCAGAATTCTATCAGAATATCACGGTTTTTAAAAATAAACAGCAGTAATATGTCTGTGCTGGATATGAATGTTGCATCCACTAACCCCCAGAAAATACCTCCTAGAGGAAGTGTGCACACAACAAAATTCATTCCAAAATAAACTTCAAAGCAATTGTTCGTCTATGCCTAATATCTCAGGGCTGCAGTTTCACGTACATTTGCAAATACCACCCACCACCGTCAACAAAATGCAAGTCTTATGGAGGCCCTATGGCACACTTCCACTGGTGGCCTAGTATGAGCCAAGGCTGCACAGCTTGCTGATCCAACTGAACGCTAACTTCGCAAAATAAGAAAAGAAAAATTCAGGCTCAACAAACCTAAACCATCATTAATGCTAATACAGGAGAGTATAATCAGATAGGGATGGGAAAAAGGTGGGAACACCCTTCTCCTGATAGTGAACAATTACATAAGTTTAAGGCAATTACGAAAGTAACAGTGCTAAACTCTATTTTCGTATGTCCAGTTTTTAAGAACACAAGTCCCCATATATTAAGAACCTAGGAAATATCAACAACTACAAGTTACTCTGCAGTCTTTAGCTGTATTTAGCAGATGTGTCTGCAAGATTCTCCATTTCTGAATCTTGAGCTGTCACCTCAAGACTTTCTACCACACATAAATGAGCATGAATATGTTCAAAATCCAATTGCATCTCAGATTCCAGAAACAGTATCTGTTACCATTACAACAACATTGAGTATCTACCTTGGTACTCCAAACATCAGAAAAGTAATGCTCTCAGCTGATTACTTTTACTAGCTTTTAAAGACCCTTGTGAACCTCAGGAATTTACAAGTTACAAAAGTAAAAACAAATACTTCCTAACCTACCTTACAGTGCAGAGAATAATTTTTTCTTTAGTAAACTATTCCATTTTAGACAAAAGCACTCAGAAAGAGAGCTTTTATTTTTAAAATCTTTACCATCTCTTAAGCACACTAGTCTTTCAAATGCATATCTATACAGAACTACGTTTAATAAGCTGAAAACATAGTTAACACAGGGACAGAGCAAGGATGAGATAGCACTGAATTTCTTGAGCCTCTAACAGGAACCAGATTGATGAGCAAATCAAACAGCAAGGAAGGTCAGGTTATCCTAATTGTATCAAGTATTTATTGCAAATGTTGCAGGTATAACCAACACCAGATTAGCGAGTTCTAGCAGATGAAACCGCCTAACCTTCTTCACCAGTCATCTCTGGCCTAATCTGGAGAGGTCACAACACTGATTTAATCTTTAGCACCAGTTCAGTTCACACAACAGATCTACAATACTACAAAAACTGTTCAATTAAGTAAGTAAGGTGGTAAAAGACAAGTGATATATTCCATCTCTTATGTCTTGAATTATCTAATCCCTTCTGACATGTACATTTTATCATCATCACCAAGTTCCACTACCCTAAAATGAAATTCTTTATTTAAAGGAATGCCATTCTTCTCTGCTTATACACTTGAAATTTATATATGGCATGCCCAGAAGCCACAAATATTAAAAGGTCTGCAACTGTAGTATAGCAGTGAAAAAAGTATCAATTGTTACTTACATTAAGCTTTAACACTTACATAAATAAATACTCTTTACTTTAGTCTTAATACTACTAAAATTGAAACAAACATAAAGACCTGTTCCAGCTTTGGGCACAGTTTCTTCAGGGATTGATACAGCTGTATCCTCTGATCCAAGATCTTTTTTCTGACCATTAGAGCTATAAACTCTTACTTGACTCATCAGCTGCACTGGCAGACGAATGCAAGGTAGAACATAAGAAAGACTCCCACTTTTCATTGAAGCCTGCCATCCTAAGAGAGAGGAAGAAAAAAAGATGTTGCAGACAAATCATTTTCAAAGAAAAAAAGAGAGCAGAGTGAGTCCAGAAATACCAACACAGACTATAAAAGGTTAGCTTTTAATAATGATCTACGTCTATTTTACCTATGCTTAGGATTTACAAAATGGGAGTAGACAGCATGCTTTCCTTGTGTCCATTTAAACATCCATTTTTAAAAGTCATTCTAACACATCAGGTTTTTCTACACAGTCCCGTATTCCTTTCACTTTAGTCCTCCAAAATAGAAGCAACTGCATGGGTGTGTGCATGCCGATTTAGACCTTATTAATGAATGATTTCACAAAAGGAATAGTCAGATAAGCTCTTGTTAACTATTAATTGCTGCTAATGTGACAAAAACCCAGAATATCAACCCAGCACAGCTCAGTGACCTTACAGATTATAGTTCACAAAAGACTGCAACAAAAACATGACAAAAAATGACCAGTTCCTGAGCCTTGATAGTACTGCAGCAGTTGAAATGGAAACTTAATCAGCACATTCAGTTGAATAAGCAAGAAAAACTAATTTATGTATACACTAAAAAAAAGTATTTACTGTAATTCAACCATAAGTGACTGTATGAAGATGGACAAAAGGGGTCAGAATTTTAATTTCATGGGATCTACGGCCTAAAGAAAAGGCCAGGGCTTACTTGCCAAACCAAAGCAAATCTTAGAAGCCTGCACTTTATTTTATAATTATTACAAACTTCAACTCTAAAACATACATTATAAAACAGTACTAGGTAGGACTGGAACTGACAGGTTTGGAAGCCGACACAGTGCACGTTAAAAAAAAAAAAAAAACCTGCAATGAGTTGTTTCGCTCTCCTCGCCCACCAAGGCATTTATTACTTAAGTATTTTCCTTTCTTTAAAGGAAAAAAAAAAAAGCCAAAGTACT